AATTAAAAATTCTCAGATAGATGTCATAGTCTCTGACTGCATACATCTTTAATTGAAGAATAATAATAATAAAAAGTAGAGAGTGAGATCAGAAGTATTGAAATATGCAGAAGCATCTAAGTATTCTTTCAGTACTTTTGTATTTGCTTCTGTAGATGTTGAAATTGCATGAGTTTCTTATTAAGTTAATCATTGAATTTCCTCATATTGAAGTTGTTAAGTTGTATGCATATCAGCTATCTGTTGCTGTTATAATTTCAACATTGCTCAGAGCTACTGTGATATTACATTTATACTCATGTTTAAGAGTTTTCTCATATTATTATTAGACATGATTTTATCAATCATCAGATATGTGATATCTATGAAAGTGTAATTATATGAATATCTCATACATCTGAGATGTCAGAACTCTCAGGTCTTTCACTGACATTCTCTTATAAGATCTTACTCTCTGTGTAAGATCTTGTTATAAGGTCAGAGTGACTGATGAGCAAGCATCTATCTGAGAACTTAGTGTCTGCTTAACTGTTTGACTGTTTCTCTATTTCTTACACATTGTTATGCATTCAGATATCTCAGTAAGTAATCATTTCTAATAAGAAGATGATGAATATGAATAATCATTTCTAATAAGACGATAATGAATGTTTTTCAAGTGTAAGAAACCTACACTGAATAGATCAGTATGATATTGATAGATCTTATATAACAAAGTGAAAAACATTAGAGAAGAAAAGAAAGAGAAAGTGTGAGAATCAGTGATTAAAGTGAATATTTATACATGTACATGATGGCATACACAGTGGAACTTCGAGGTGAAAGAATAGAGGTTTTCATACATAATGAAGCTTCAGGGCGGAAGAATAGAAATTCTGTAGATTTTCAGCTGAGAATCAGCAACTGAGAATCAGAGTGATAGAAATCTGTGAAGTGTAATGAAATAGTCTATATAATTGATCGGGCGCAGCCCGTCACACTATAACTGGTTTTTGAACTTTACTATCAGTCATTAACTGAGAAAAGAACTGCTGATTGATTTCATTTCTAATTCTGAAAATAAGATTTGAGTTTAGCTTATTTCTCTGCAAGATGTTCTGATTTGAGACTTTAAGAATAAGTCTTCTATTTCTGAAGATTTAAAGATTTTTCTTTTTTTGCATTTCTTTCTTCACTCTTCTATCAATAGAAGTATGAGCAGTATTCTTCTCAGTTTTCTCAGAATTTTAAGCAGATTTTGAGACAGCAGATTTAGCGACAGTAGGTTTAGAGATAGCAGATTCAGCTGCTTAAGCATATATTTTCTTCTGATTTAAAGAAGAAGAAGAAGAAGAAGTAGAAAAGAAAGAAGAGCAAACTGAAGAGTCAGTGATTATATTAGAAATTTTCAAAGTGTTTAGAACTGTATTTGAAATTCCAAGTTTGAACATTAATCACTTTCTGTAGTTGTCTAGCCTGAGTAGGAAGAATTAACAGAACTTCTTCATTTATCTCACTCAGATACTGCTTTTCAAGAATTTTACTTACTTTTTCAAGTTTCTGTATTTCAAGAACTTGTTGTTTCTCTATTTCTTCTTTCTTTCTCTCTTCAGAATTCAATCTCAGAAATAGTATTTGAGAAAGCATCTTTTCTACATTAACTAAGTGTATTTTTGAACTCATTGTTCTTACTCAATGAAAAGTTGATCAGACTGATTTAATTGAGATATTTATTAAAGTCTTTTGAATTGAAAAGTTGATCAGACAGTTTCAATTAAGAGATTTCTAAGTCTGTTTTCAATTGAAAAGTTGATCAGACTGTTTTAAAAGAAGAATAAAAGACTTCTATATATAAAACACCTGATTTTTTTTCACACTAGTGCAGTAACTAGATTAGATTTTTAAAGAGAATCTAATAAACTAAAATTAATTTTTGAGATAAATTAATACAATCTTTATAATCTCTTTCTTAAGATACAGTGAGAAAAAGAATAATATCAATTAATTATAAATCAGATAATATAACAGTTTTTAAGAGAAAAACTGATAAAAAATAAATCAATTTTTTGCAGAGAAATTGATTAAAACTATTCAATTTTATTCTAAATCATCTAATTCTTCTCACATAACAAGTATACAACTCAAATCAGTTAATAAAGAGTGTAAAAAAGAATTAAGTATTAATAAAAACTCTTCAGTCACTGAAAAAGTAATTCTTATTTAAAAGAATATGAAATTATGATAGAAAACATCTCTATTTTTAATTCTTTATAAGAATATTGTATAAAACTTAGAGAAAAATATCTTACTTTTTCAAGAGAAGGAAAAAACTATTTCTGAGATCTTTTTTTTTTTTTTACATTAACTGCTGTAGAAGAATAAGATAGAAACTGCTAAGATATATACTACTATATACTCTCTATCAAGACTTTTTCTCTTCAGAGTCTTGATATTATAGAGAATATAAGTCTGTTTCTATATAATAATATAAATATTATCAGTGAGATGTAGAGGAACTGATTATTTATATCTTAAAATAGAAGACTTTATCAATGATTATATTAATATAGAATTAATTCTTAAATTCAATAGAAATCTAGTATTGCTATTCTCAATCTCTTGCAGAATCTATTAAATATTGAGATATTAAAACTAGATTTAATATATCTCACTATGCAAAGATCAAAGACTCAGTCAGATCTTGAGATATACTGAATTTATAGTTGTTAACATATTATTGACTTGTTATGTTGACTCATTATTCACTGATTATATATTGAATACTGTTGTCAAGATATCTTTTTATATTATTCTGCTGAGAATGAGCCAGATTGAGAGAGGTGATATGAGAGTGAGACTTAATATTAATGTCTAGATACACTGAACACAGATCACAGAGATTGTACTTCAGAAATGTCTGTTAATTATATACTTGATATTATTACTGAGATATCTTTTTGTATTTTTCTACTGAGAATGAGCCAGATTGAGAAGAGTGATACAAGGATGAGACTTGACATTGATGTTTTGAAACATCAAAGATGAACAGGGTTTTCACAGAGATCACTTCTCAGATATCTTCACAATTACAGATCAGGAATCTTTCAAAATTGAGAAGATTGATGTATATGACTAGGTCTCTTCATCTTACAATTTGTATGGCAATTTGGCCTGGGGTTGTGGTGTGATAGGGAAGAACAGGGGATAATCTCACACAGGAGTTTTGAACAATGTCTGGTTCACATTTGGCTGGATAACTCCACCACCACACAGGGTATGCAGTCGGCAATGGGGTCAAAATGCTTGTATGATCGAGGGCTTTTCGATGGATCTATCGGCGGGTTCTTATTCGAAAAATCGAGCGAGTTCGTGGTGAAGTGATTGTTCTTCTCAGTGAGCTTCTGATTGTGTTTTCTGACATGATTTTACATGAACACAGATGCTGATATGTTTGTTTTTATTCATGTAGAATTCTCACACATTGACAGATCTGTGTCCGCAGATAACAGTGAATATCTCAATATTGAATTATTGATTGAGAACTTGAAGAATGTGATAATGAAGAAATTGTTCATATCATGTGTGACTGAGTCTCTCATGTCTTCTTCTGTTCTCTCTGTTTCTTTCTCTGCTGTCTTCTCTCAATCTTCTATTCTTACTTCTGTGTCTGATTCTCCCGCTTCTGCTACTTCTGTTCTTATGACTCTCACTTCTACTATTTCTGCTCTCTCTGTCTCTGCTATCTCTGCTTTTATTATCAGCTCTTCTCATTTTAAGAAGATGTTATGTAGACTTGATAAATTATATTTCTCAGTGCATACACTTCTAGACTGACCGTGTGACCGTGTCTGAGACCAGGACCAGAATATTTGATGATCTCATTATCAATTCAACTGATCTCATTACACTGTTTTAACATTAGATAGTAGTCTCATACTGTTTCAGTGAGACTTACTGTCTACTCTTATTACATTTTTCAAATGAGACCATGATTTCCACTTCTCAATTTAAATTATTTTTATTGCTTTAAATGACTTTAAATCTCATTTGAGCATTACCAAAAAGCGTTACTTTTTAAAAAATTAAAAATAGTCTAAAAAACCTTAAAATGTCTAAAAATAGTGACTTTATGCCAGGAATGGGACTAAATAAGATCAAATGAAACCACTTTCTTATTTTTTCTAAGTCATGGTTCTATTTTGAGATCTGATATATAGTCACTTTGCATGTTTTTTCAATGATTAGTCCCAGCGGGATTCACACCAAGAAATGTATGAGGCCAGATCAAATGGAATCAAGTGTGAAATTCATAATTCTGCTGGTCAGTCTATATACTTCTGTTCTTCTTATCAATCTCTAAAATGATTTATTGTACAAAGACTGTATACAACACAACTATCTGAAGCTTGATCATAAATATCAATTATTACATTTATTTTAAGTATTTATAATAAGATAATTATTCATTTATACTGAAGAATCACTTCTCTTCTCAACAGTGTTAAGATTGTAAGTCTTTTCTTTTTTCATCTTTTCTTTCTGACACTGATTTTTCTGTTCTTAGAAGAAATTGTTATGAGTTTTATTATATATAAAGTTGTGATATTCATGAATATCAAGAAACTTTTTATAACTGTTAAATTCAATATTACAGATATATCTACTCTAATGAATATCTTCAAAATGATTCACTCATATCAGTCTATTCTCTGATATTTATTATCTGACTTCATAGTACAGGTGAAGAATATCTGTGTTTTCAGAAATAAAAACATGAATATCATACTTTTTTACACTCACAGACATGAGACTTGTATGTCTTGTCTAAGATATTATTATAAGAATGAGCTGTTTATACACTATATTCTGCTTTCTGTATTTCTCTGTGTCTCTCTCTCTCTTTCTGAGAAGCCTTGTGTGTGTTGTAATTATATATACAACTCTAAGATCAGTGAATGTTTATTCAGTAACTGTTCTTATTTCTGATTTTGCAGTTTTCATACACTAACAATGATTCTTAGTTGCTTCAGTGTCAGAGATTATTCTAATTGAAGATGATAACACTGCTGAGACTACTCTCTCTCACTCTCAAGCTTCTCTCAGTGCTTTCTCTCTCTCTTCTACAGAGAAGATTGTGTGTATATCAGATTATAAGTATTCAGCTCTGAGTGACTTCTGCTGTTATTTATCTGATTCTGTGTCTTCTTCTTCTTTCATTTCTTTCACTTCTATCTTCTCTGTCTTGACTTCTGATTCTGCAGATTCTGCACTTTTCTTCAATTTTTCTACACACATGCATACACATTTCTATATTGACATTTCAGTCAATCTTGTAATAAACAATATTAATGTTATACACAGAGTGATAGAGAAATTGAAGATATATATAATATTGTTATAAGAGCAGCTTGCAGCTCTCAAATTCCTTACAGATCTCAAGTTTTGAGATTTTCTTTGTTTTTGACATTTTTCTTTTCAGATGATGTAGTGTTGAAAATAGATTAAACATGTAATATATGAAAATGAATGAGATGTATGATAATATTTGTCTTTTACAGTTAATTCTTATAATTGATGATTAATTCATTATCTCTTCTCTTCTCTTACACTTTTTCTTTGTCTGCTAGTCACTACTCTTATGTAATCTCTATATAGTACAGTATTCAGTGACTAAGTTCAGTAGCTTTCATCTCTTGTGATTCTGTCTCATGTATTATACTGTCTCTCTTCACCTGCTCAGACTACTACAGTGAACAGCTCATTGAAACTAACCTTGTCTGATCTCTGAGCATCTTCAGAGATTGAGATGACTTAATCTCACATGTCTGTGAATGTTTCAGATGCTTTATTCTCTGTTGTCTCTGTGATTAAACTGATGTAAACAGTTGAATTCAACTCTGAATTTCTTTTTCTTCTGTGATCTGACTCATGTATAAGTCTGCTGCTCTGAGACTGCTCTTTACTGTATTATATCTACTATCTGCAGTGTGTTATTATATGATCAGCTACAGTTTCATCACTTATTGAAGTATGATATTTATCTGATTTCTTCATTTCTTCTTAATCTTTTCTTATAATTGTGAAGAGATTAGAATAAGTGAGATTATCTGATTTATAAGTATCTATGATTTCTCTTACTTTGTAAGACTTTTCAATTATAAGTCTCTTTCTTTTCAATACTGATGATAGTGCTGTAGATGATTATAATTCACTCAGATCTTATATCTTTACTTTCATAAGATATGAATTATTTATTAAGTTGTAAAAGATCTGTCTCTCTGATTCTTTCAATGTATATATTCTCAGAGAATGTGATTTAAGTATTTTATATGACTCAAACCATCTAGATTGAAACTTCTCAGAACTCTCATTGTGTACAAGAACTCATGTTCTTATCTTGAGACTTAATTTCTTAACTAGTGAGTCTTGTATTCTTTTCAATTAAATTGCTTAATTCAGGAGTAACTTATTAACTTTTACATGTGTGTGACTGATTTCTTTTAATCTTGATTCTGTGTCTGTGACTGCTGCATCTGCAACTGCTGTTTCTGCTGCTGTAAGAATAAGTGCTCGTAGGCGATTATTCGGGTGTTTGCAGCTTGGCGTGATATGTACTGTTAACTACTAGAAGTATTCACAGTAGAAAGATAAAATGTAGAGATTAAATGTATAATAGTATTCAAGCTAAGTTATGAATAGTATTCGCGAACTCCAGTCTATATAGTTGTGTGTAGCCAAGGGCTGCTAACTCTAGTAATTATATAAGAGATAGAAATAGAAATAAAGAATCCGTGAGAAGTAGAATTTCTTACATATCTCTCTCTCTCTAAGACTTTATTCATGAAGTCTTTCACTGAGTGATTCTATAGAATCAGGCTCAGCACTGCAGTGATACTCACTAAAAACCCTTTATATCTATATGAAAAAAACTCTCAGTGAGAAAGAATCTCTTATTACTGTGAAGAGAAAAGAGTCTGTTACTCAGTTTCTTATTTCATGAGATTCTTTATAACCTACAGATCTTTCTCTGACTATCATACAGATTCATCTCACATCTTTCATATAGAAGGGTTCTGATTGACTCTCAATCATTTTTATAAGATTCTTATGTGAGCATCACACAGATTCATTCTGCATCTTTCAATCTAAAGAATTTCAGTTGATCTTCAATCATTTTTCTGTGAGATTCTTATGTAATCATTACACAGATTCATTCTGCAGATGAATCACTTCCTGTGAGATTATTCTTATCAAAGAGAAGTATTCATGAGTTAATGTTTCACTCATTCTCATAAATTATCATTCTTTAACACTGTAGAATTGTGAGGAATTTTTCATTCTTTTATCAACTCTGTAGAATTATAGAATCAAGATATTTACAGCCTGTAATCACTCTTTATAGTTTTAGCTTAAAACAATGTATGTTTGCTTCAAGAACTCAAAAGAACTGGAGAAAAGATGAAGCTCAAAGCAAATCTAGAACTGAAGAGAATAGTCAAGCCAGTAAACTCACAACTGCAAGCACAAAAAGAAGAAACTCTCAATTATCTAAATCTTCAAACTTCAATTCTCCAGCTAAATGTAAACAGAATTTAAATTCTTAAACTTCTGTTAAGATTAGAGAATTGAGAAATGACTCTGATAATAAACTAGATATAATGTAAGAAGTTAAGATTTCTACTTTTCAGAATAGTTATAATCTACTATCTGATGATAGTGATTAGATTCTACTCTACTCTCTTTTAGTATGAATATACAACAAAAACAACAAAAAAAGTTTAAAAACTCTTTAAAAGTCACATTTATTCAAAATAATGTGAATAGAAACTCAAATTGCATTTATTCTTATCTTCAAATTGCATTTGAATAAAAAGTGGATTTTGTACTGCTTCAGAAGCCAAATTTTGATACTGAGTAAAAATATGTTATTTCTCATTCAAGCTACTACTGCTTTCTATCTCAAAAGTCTGAGATAAAGTCAAGAGTAATGATCTATGAAAGGAAGAGATCAAGATATCAATTTAATCTAAGATTTGATATCATGTCTGACCCTGATATTCCAGTGGGTAATATTATAGATAAAGAGAATGAGTTTGATACTATACAGCTCATAAATATCTGTAATGAAAAGTCAGTGAAGAAAAATAATAATATCTGAATAATTAATAGAGGATTTCTGAACATAACTTCATCAAGAAACTCTATAATTGCAGGAGATTTCAGTGCATATCATCTCTGATGAAATTCAGGATGCAAAAGAGCAGTAAGAGCTGATAATCTAATTGAATGACTCTTTGAGCATTCAATAGATTTGATTAACAAGTCTGATCAATAAACATTCTTTAGAAAAGACATGAAATAGAAATCTGTTATAGATTTAATCTTCATGTCACAAAATCTGATGAAAAAAAGACTTATAAACTGATTTATTGATTCAAATGAGAGATCAGAATCAGATCATGAGATTATTCAATTTGATATTAAACTGAGTGAGAAATAAACAAGTGAAAACCCTCTTCTCTTTAATCAGTTTATTTTTGAAAAAGCTGACTGAAAGGCAGTTGAAGAAAGTATAAAACTGTTAAAATCTGAAAGACAGAGTAAGCTATATTGAAATCCTGATCAAGATATCTCAAATGAAATGCTTGAGAATAGAGTGAAGCTCATTACATCTATTATTCTATTAAGTGTTAAAGACAATATTTCAAAGAGAAAGTCTTCTGAGTATTCAAAACCTTGATGAAATGAGAATATCACATCTAAAAGGAAATAATTGACTACTGCTAGAAGAGATTGAAAGAATGATATAATTTCTGATAAAGAGTTCAAAGCTGTCAGAAATGAATACTTTTCAGATATTAAAAGAGCTAAAACAGACTGCTGAAATAAATTTCCTGAAGAAGCATAAGAAAAGGAAGTTTTTAAAGCTTTTAACTATACTAAAACAAGAAGTGTAGTAAAACTTTCAACCTTAGAATATAAGTTTCAGAATGAATCATATACAGCAAACTCTTTTAAGGAAAAATGTCAAGCTTTTATAAGAACTCTCTTTCAAAACTCATCAGATTCAGATTCAGAGGAAGAGAATATATCAGTTCTCAACTATATTGATAAAAATGACTGGGAATGACCTGATCTTATACAAGATGAATTAGAGTCAGCTATATTCTCAAGTTCAGTTAAAACTGCTGCAGGCCCTGATTCAATTAATTACTTAATATTCAAAATACATACTCTACTTAAAGAATGAATATTTTAAGCTCTTCTCAATCTCTTGAAAAATGAATATCATTCTGAATGCCGAAGAAAAGTCACTGAAGTGATTCTTACAAAATCTAATAGAAAAACTTCAATTCTTAAGTCATATAGAGTAATATCTCTATTGAACTGTCTAGAAAAGGTTTTAGAAAAGATAATAAGTACTCAACTATCTTTTATAAACTCTATCAGTGATTCTCTTTTATTCAGTGAATAAATGAGAGATAGAAAACAATGTTCTGCAATTGACACTGTTCTCTCAGTTATTCATAATATTTAAATAGCAAAGTATGATGATCTGGTCTCAACTGCAGTTTTTATTGATATAAAAGAAGCATTTGATCATGTTTCAAAGTCAAAGTTAATTCAGACTTTGAAGATGTTCAAACTATCACTTTATCTAATAAAATGAGTTAACTGTTTTATATCTAAAAGAATCATATAACTTCTCTTTAATGAAATGAAATAAGACAAGACTGAGATAAAAATAGAAGTACTGTAAGAATCTTCAATCTCACTCATTTTTTTTGCAATATACACTGCATATCTATTCAAAAATAAAAATATAAGAATAGTGCAATCTCTGAGTTATATGAATAATATTGATATAGTCTACAGCTCAAAAACTATTAAAAAGAATTTAAAAGTAATTGAAGAAGCTGTAAAGAAAATCTTTGTTAGAGTAGATATTAATTAAATTCAATTTGATATGAATAAAACTGAGTTAATTCATTTCTTTTCTAGATTCAATGAGAAAGAACTATCTCTAACTCTTTTAAATAGAGAGATTAAATTCAGTGTAAATATCAAATGATTAGAAGTATGATTAAACTTCAAGTTGAATTTTGAATATTACATTTAACAAAGAACTGTCAAGGCAGAAAGACTATTGAATAACATAATGAGACTATCAAATACAGAGAGAGGTCTATTCTTTCAGGCTATGAGACAGTTATATATAGCCTGTATTACCTCAGTAGCTGATTATGAAGTTCAAGTTTGATGAAATAATCAAGAGAATTTCACTGAACTCTTTCAAAGTCTGTAAAACAGAGCTTTAAGAAGAATTCTGAA